CCTTGTTTTGCGTGTGTGACACCACTGGAATACACATCTCTCCTCAATTCATCTCCATTCAATTTTTAACATGAACTCTGAAACTAATATATATATTAGTTTCAGAGTTGAAATTGGAAACCAAGCTCATAACCCACAGAGTTGAATACTGATAAGTGTCCCACATTGGAAATCAGGCTCATAACCCACAGGTCCCTGGATCGAAACCAGACTCTGATACCAATTAATAAGGTTTAAGTCATAACTCCACCACAAAAACTAGCTTAAGAGTGGAGGTTTGACCCTCCTTATATATTGGCCCCAAATCCCTCTTTTTTTCCAATGTGGGACACTTATCAAATACCTGCGAAGATTCTAGGTTAGAAGCTCTGAAACAGTTCAAATTCGTTGTCCATTTACAAGATTTCAGTTTCTTACATTCACCAGGTGAACTGAAGACTATATATGGCTCTTCAATAACAAAACACAGTCAAATCTCTGAAACTACTAATATGCCTGTTCAGACATCACGGAGGGCAAGGCTCCACTGTCAGGCAGGACGCAACATCAATGCTCAATATCCTCCCCGGAGTCTTGTATCAGGTTACATCCCCGCAGGTGCAGGTTGTAATGAACAAAGACAAAGTCTTTCAGAAGCGGATGGTCAAGAGGGCTCTTCCCTCCAGCCAACAGCTTCTCGGCCACTTCCCTCTTGAGCCCGAATCTTGATGCACCTTCACAAGTTTGGCTCAGAATTTTAATGGCAACACTCTGTAACTCTGGGCACTGATTCCCGTACTGAATCCACCATTCGGCTGCAAAACAATGCCAAAACCTTTGGTCATGTGTTTCAGCAACAAAAGCTTTGTCCTTTTTGTCAAATATGAATATTACAGCATCAGCATCAGCATCAATCAAGAAGCTGGAAGATTAGTTTTTAATACCTGGAGCCATTCTAGAGATATTCTCGGAGCGGCTGGCCTCAGAAAAGGAATCTTTACCGAGTCTGTACATATCGAGCTGTGGTAAAACTTCCAACAGATCACTCCGCTCTTTTACCATATGGATCAAAGATGAAACTAGACCAATGGTAACTTCTGGATCAAGATGGAAGTCCGTCGAGTAAAAGGCACATGGGTTCAGAAAGTATCCAGCCGCGTGAAGTGAGGTATGAAGATGAGTGTCCCATACTTCATCTATTATATCCCACACAGTTTTGTAACTGAGTTTCTTGTGATTAAAGTTCTTCCTGATACCCTCTTTGATTTCATCCATTGTGTCATATATAAGTCCAACTTGTGGCTTGTCAGCCTTTGTAACCAAGAACAGAGCACGTACAAGAGGAATTGTACATTCGAGGACCGTCTCGGCGTTTTTCCAGAAAGAAGAGTCCTCCACCAATTTGGCGGCTCTTATTCCCTCTCCTCTAGAAGCACACTTCAAGTTCTTCCAATCCGATGAAGTAAACATGCTGATGAAGCTCTCCCTTGCCATTAAAGTACTCTCTAAAGTCATATAAGGCTTAGCTGAATTATTCTTGGACAATAGAGTGAGGTGTTGTCCATGATTATGATCTCTAAAAAGCTTCAAGACTGATGGGTCGCTGTGAATGAATTCCGTGATGTTCCTGACCTTTTCAAGCACGTCAGTAACAAAATCTAGTGTTCGAATCTTATCCAGCATAAGCTCGAAGCAATGAGATACACTAACAGACCAGAAAATCTCCCGATGATTCCCTGCAAACCACTTGTGCAGTTCACCGACCCAACCCGATGTCGAACAACCGATAATCTGAACGACGTTATGTACTCCAACTTCCGCAACAATGCCATCCATCAGTAACACTAAAGCAATGATATCGTCTTTTATACCAGAAACATCACATGATTTCAGATACACGGCTCCCTTGGGGCAATCCGCAAGAAAAGTAACGAGGTCACGGCCATTAACGTCAACCCATGCATCCAACAGAATACTGCATCCATAAACCTCCCACGAATCTTTTATTCTCTTCACATGTTCCTCCATTTCTTTCACCTCTTCCGTAAGAATCCACCCGTTTAGATCTTCGGAAGTGGGGATCTTCCACCTCAACTGACTAACATCAGTGCCAGGGCAAGCAACACTTAACATTTGTCTGAAACTCAGGGATTCTACCACTGAAAAATCAACACAGTTCTCATAAAAAAACCGGCCAATACATTTCTTCTCTGTCTTCCACATCAAGTCGTGTTTGTCAGTCTGTAAGCGTCTCTTCTTTAGAGAACTTCTGTGGCTGCAACAATCTTCGGAAGCCGAAGAATCAAAATCTGTACACCTTGGAACAGACTTAGCTGAGTCATCATAAGTAGGACGGAAGCCTTCCTCTAGCATATATCGAAACGCCGCTCTTACAGAATCTGGAACTTGTTCACAAGGAACAACGTCTTTGCGTATACCAGCCAAGTGACATTTGAGACGGGTAAAACCACTCATTTCTTTTCCACAGTAATTGCATCCCACCCTACCTTTCTTCTTGTCCACAGAAACACCATGGTCACGGATGTTCATTGAGGCCCCACCCGAACCCATTGGTTCAGGACATCCACTGCAATATAGAATGCATCAAAGTTTCCAACTTTCTTTAGGTAAACCCCGGTCGTTTTCAGAAGTCAAACATTTTTTTTTCCTCGCAATCACATAACGCGTGAAACAACCAAAATGGGAAGAGACGTCTACAAAAAATTTCCCAAATAATCGAATTCGTACACAACGAGGCAGAAAAAAAAAAGAGTTCTTGAAACTCTACGAGGACAAAATCCGCAGACAAAGGAAACGAAACCAAGCACGAAACTTTTGGTAACGGAGACGAGAAAGACAAAAGAAAGTCGCTTGGGTCATGCGAATTGACATGGTTTTTGGCTTCAAAACAGAGAAAATTCTGAAAAAGGAAAGGCAATACCTCTATAACGCGTAGGAGACAAACGGGAGAGAAGAGAGGACCTACACAAACGGGAGAGAAGAAATCCCAGCTTTACAGGCTAAACCCTCGCTTCTGTTCGTATTCTCTCAGACAAAGACGGCTGTGTGAGAGAGAGTCCGTATATGATTGTGTACACAGAGGTCCACCCCTGCTACTGTAGTCTCACTCGACCATCTCATTTACTGTTAATTTCCTTGAATTATAAATTAAAAATTTTGTTCATTTGTAATAGAAACTCGTCATTTTTTTCCTCCTTTTTTTGCCTATAAATGAAAAAAATACAATATTTTAACATATTATTACTATATTCCAAGAGTAACTCCTGCTCCGTCCCTATGAGGTTAATTTATCAATCTATAATTGATAGGTTACGTGTCATCATTACAATCCACCGAAAAAGAGAGAGAAAAATCCGCATGAACAAAAGCCTTCTCATCATCAGTTCTTTGCGTGTTCTTGAAGAAACAAATAATAGTCTCAGCAAGAAGGATCCAACTTCACTTGATATTTCATTGGATCCTCCTCAGCGTCTTGGATCTCCGAAGATGCAAATTGTAATGAACAAAAGCAAAGTGGTGGAGAGGAGGGCTCTTCCCTCCAGAAGCGAGCACCTTCTCGGCTACACTCCTCTTGAGCCTGAATCTCGAAGCACCTTCACACGTCTGACTCAGAATTTTAACCGCAAAACTTTGCAACTCTGGGTGTTGATCCGCGTACCTACCCCACCATTCAGCTGCAGACATTTAGAGTTTTGTTTCTTGATCAGACATGAAAACGCAAGACAACCACTTGTCCTGGAACCAGGGGAAAAGAAGACCCTTTCCATGTTATATATATATAGCTTTGGCAGATGGGTATCCTGTCCAAAAAAGTGGTACATACCTGGAGTGATTCCAGAGATTTTGTCAATGCGACTAGCTTCAAAGAAGTAATCCTTTCCGAGTCTGTACACATCAAGTTGTCCTAAAATTTTGATCTTGATACCCTCTTCTTTTACCATATAGACGAGAGATGCGAGCAGACCCGCGGTAACTTCTGGATCAAGATGGAAGTCTGTTGCGTAAAAAGCAAAAGGGTTTAGATAGTAACCAGCACCATGAAGAGGGGTATAGATACGAGTGTTCCAGACTTCATCTATTATATCCCAGAAAGGTTTGCAACTGAGTTTCTTGTGACTAAGCCCCTTCTCCATACTCTCTTTGATTCTATCCATTGTATCATAGATAAGCCCGACCTGTGGCTCTTCAGCTTTGGCAAACAAGAAAAGGCCATCGACGACAGGAATCGTACATTCCTGAACTGTCTCAGCAGCGTTCCAAAAACAAGAGTCCTCCACCAATCTGGCAACTGTTAATCCCTCTTCTTTATTAGCCCAGATCATGCTCTTCCAATCAGATGAAACAAACATGGTAGTCAAGTTCTTCTTTGTTGTTAAAATTCTCTCCAACGCCAGATAAGGCATAACCACATCATCATTCTTGGACAAGACAATCAGTTCTTTTCCGCAACTATGATCTCTGAAAAGCTTCAAGATCGAGGGATCGCTGTGAATGAACTTCGAGATGTTCTTTACCTTATCAAGCACATTGGTAACAACCTCCAATTTCCCAATCTCCTTCAGCATGAGCTCGAAGCAACCAGATACACTCACCGACCAAAAAATCCCCCGGCTACACCCTGCAAACCACTCGCCCAATTCACCTACCCAACCAGTTACCGAACAACTGATAATTTGAATGACGTTTTCCGCTCCAACCTTCTTAACAACCTCATCTATCAGTAACGTTAAGGCAACCATATCGCATTTTATATTAGAAACATCATAGGATTCCAGATACACTGGACCCTCGGGGCAATCTGCAATAAAAGTAACTAGTTCACGACCATTCATATCAACCCAAGTATCCAACAGAAGACTGCATCCTGTAATGGTCCATGAATCTTTTATCCTCTTCACATATTCCTCTGCTTCCTTCCACTCCTCTTGAAAGATCCACCCATTCATATCTTGAAAACTAGGGATCTTATACCTTAGCTGATCAGCATCACCCCTACAACTCACTACACCTAGCATTTGTCTGAAACTTGGGGAATTCACAGCTGAAAGATCAATTCCATTTTCAAGGAAAAACCGACCGATACACTTCTGAGCTTTCTTCGACAACAAGTCATGCGAGCCTCCCTCTCCACCATGGTCACGCATGTTCACCGATGTTCTACCAGAAGCCATTCAGATTTCCAACCCTAGTTTAGAGGATACGCTGCTTAAAAAAAAAACATCACAAATTACAAGCTTTTCTTCTTTTCCCCCTCTAAAAACTAATAAGAAAAATACAGTGGCCCATGATATCTCTTCCTCAAGAACAGATTTTTTTCCCTTTTCCCTAATGTCCCTCCTTTACACACTTCAGCGGCAAAATTTCAAGTGGCGAAATTGGGCTTGGAATACCGAATTCAAAGTTTTAGAGAAAAAAGGTTAGAACTTTGAAGTAGAGAGGCAAAAGATGATCGGAACTTGAAAAGACACTCTTTTTCTCCAACAAAAACACAGAAGCAGGAAGAAAAAGGGGAACCGAGGCGCAAAAATGGACCTTTATCGACTTCAATGGCTGAAAGAAAGAGAACCAACCACAACCAGTAGAGTCAGTTGAAAACCCTCAGAGAGAACAGACCTTTTGATTCTTTCGAAATCGACGCGAATGATCAACTGGGTTCTTGAGCATAAATTTGCGACCTTTTTTGATCTCCAAACCTAAAAGTGGAGGTTTTTGGTCTTTTTGTTCAAATGTTGGGAGGGACCGACTAACGCAAACTAATTAAGGTTATATCGTAATTAATAATAAAATAAATTGTTTAGCAAGACAGGAGTTCAATCCACACGGACACTTGGATCTCTTCCCTTTGGTCATATCGGAAAGGAAAGAGAGGAAAAAGCCGAAATCAGAGGTTGAAGCTTTATAACAAAACTGCCATCTTACTTTCATGGGTTTTGTTATTTGATAAAATTAAATGCGGCATTTCCGGGTTTTCAGAATTTGAAACCGAAATACCAGAACATGAGAAATGAAACAGGAGTTGAACTGACTGGTAACCCCATGAAAGAACACAAAAACCTCAGAGACTTGATGTTCAACCTTGGCTGCCTGATGCAGCATCGATCTCCATAGGAACTCCCGCATCTGCTCCCCCTTTGCAATATTTCTGCAGTTGCAGATTGTAATGAACAAATGCAAAGTCTTTCAGATATCGCCTCACGATTGGGCTCCTCTCTTCCTTTAGCATCTTCTCCGCCGCACTTCTCTTTAGCTTGTATCTTGACGCGCCATCGCACTTCTGGCTCAGAAGCTTAACGGCTACCCTTTGTAATTCCGGGTGCTTATTCCCCTTACGAGCCCACCATTCAGCTGCATACAGTCGATAAGATAAATACAAACCTTCTGTTAGATATCTGTTAATGGTTTATGGTATCATCAGAAGGTTGATCCGGATTCATACCTGGATCAGTTTCAGACATCTCATCTATGTGGGTAGCCTTGAGAAAGGGATCTTTACCGAGTCTATAAGTCTCAATCTGCTGCATAACTATACCTCGAACAGTTTGGCCCTTTACCAAATGGACCAAGGATGACACCAGACCTGTGGCCACTTCTCCATTGACACGGAAGTTCGATGAGCACAAGGCACACGGGTTCAGGTAGTAACCGGCAGCGTGCAGAGGACTGTGAAGGTGAGCTTCCCTCACTTCATCCACCACTGACCAATACGGACAAACTTCCTTCACCATTGTATCTTTTATATTGTATATTTGCTCATAGATGTGTCCCATATGCGGCTTTTCTTCCTTAAGGAACGAGTCGAAGAAGCGGATGAGAGGATACGTGCATTTGAGAACTATCTCCGCGGTTTTCCAGAAAGAAGGGTCACCCACCAATCTGGCCACTTCTATCCCATCTTCTCTCGAGGCCGAGATCGTGTTCTTCCAAATAGACGAAGCGAATATGGCTTTCAAGTCCTCCTTGGCCGACAAAACGCTCTCTAGGGTCAGATAAGGCATAGCAGAATCGTTCTTGGATGAGACAGTGAAGTCTTTTCCACGACATTGAACTTTGAAAAGCTTCGAGATGGAAGGATCATCAAGAATGAGGTTGGAAATGTTCTTGACATCCTTAAGAACGTCTTTAACAACTTCCATTTCACCAATCTTGTCAAGCATAAGCTCCAAGCAGTGAGACACACTCACAGACCAGAGGATCTCCTTGTGATTCTCTACAATCCACTTTCCTAGATTGCCTACCCAGCCCGATACAGAATTACCGATAACCTGAACGACATTACGAGCTCCAACTTCCTCAATGATCTCATCTATCATTAACACTAGGGCTATTATATCATTCTTGATACCGGAAACGTCTTGGGATTTCAGGTAGACCGGACCCTTTGGGCAATCAGCGATGAACATAACGAGGTCACGCCCATTGGCGTCAACCCAAGCGTCCATCAGAATACTGCAACCTGTGATCTCCCAGGAACCTTTGATGCTCTTAATGTATTCATGTGTTTCATTCACCTCTTCCTGAAGGATCCAACCTTTGAGGTCTTTAGAACTCGGAATATGACAACCCAAATAACCGAACAATTCTCTGAAACTCTTGGAATCAGCGGCTGAGAAATCAATGCAGTTCTCGTAAAAGAACCGGCCAATGCTCTTCTGATCTTTCTTCACGAACAAGTTATCCTCGTCACTCTCCGAGTGAATCTTCACATCAAGAAGGGATTCGGCACGGCGTTCTTCAGAAGAAGAGGAATCGACAGGTTTGGGTAAGCGACGGAGACGAGGAAGAGGGATTGCATCAAGCATAAGACGGCGAAAGGGCTGTCGGATAGCATCAGGGACTTGTAGGCAAGGAGCTACGTCTTTTGGAACACCTCCCAAGTGACGCTTGAGACGCGTCACTCCACCAACTTCTTTGCCACAGTAATTGCATCTCACCCTATTCTTCTTCTTGTCCACACAAACACCATGGTCATGGATGTTCATCGAGGTTCCACCCGAAGCCATCCACCAGATTCAGATTCACTGCAGACAAACAAGAAGAAGAAGAAGAAGAAGAAGAAGAAGTCAAAAAAGCTTTTTCTTTTTTATTCTCTTGTGGA